ACAATATTTTCTTTAAAATACTTTAAAAGTCTTTTAATGAAAATCCATGACCTTGAAAGGTGATTATTTCTGGATGATAAAATATTGTTATATTTCTAAGTTTCATCCAGTTGATCTTCATTCAAACCATTATTCAAATAGTTAGGATCAAGTATGTAAGCTAAAAAATGGTAATAAGTCAAAGATATATTAAACGGTTCATGAATAATTCAAACAAACTTTTTATATTTATCAAGTTTGAGGGTATTATATATTTGTTTGCACATAATAGTACAAAGTTTAAATAATAAATAAAATAATGAAAAATTTAGTATTACACCTGTAAAAATATTTCAATAAGAATTATATCTATTTTTCATAAATTTGCAAAACAAAAAAGGCGGTGATCGTTTTAGCCCTCATTAATTTCCTAAAATATAATCTAGAAATGTACAAGGATTCTTTTCTTTAAATTGAAAGTTACCTGAAAAAACGTGTAATTTATTTTGTAAGAGTTTGATTAGCCATGGAAAGTATGCCATAGAATACACGATTACTTAAAATAGATAATTAAATTAAAAGTCAACGTTGACTAAATATTGTCGACCTATAAGACGGCATTTAAAAATATAAATAACAGAAATCATAAAAAAAAAAAAGAAATAAATGATATATATGATCAAATAAAAAAGTTACTAAAAATAATATAATGTTTAAAGCAAACATGAATTAATATTAAGTTTGATAGATGGTAAAGTATGTAATGCTATTTTTGTAAATTCATCTAGCCAGATCTGTAATGTTTGCCTTACTTCTCTTAAATGAATGTAATTGAATGATAATGTTACTGTACGGAAACGCCCTACTGAATAAGTGACACATAACTAACATTACACATCTGGATAATATTTCTTAAATGCCTGTTATTTGGATTTTGAAATATGGCAAGTAAGATGTGACAACAATATTAAAAACAAAAAAAATTAATTCAGAGGAAATTCAAGGAACAAATAGGACTGTGTTCCACGACTAAGGAGAACGGTACATCTAACTATGGTAATACCATGCATCGATTTTCTTTTTAAATTTATTTGGTTTATCAATATGCTACTAACAGATAAATAAATATGCAAATAATTTATTAAAACGGGTTAGTTATTACGACTTTTAAATAAAAAAAAATCTACAATTTTTTCTATATTTTCTACAATAGAATTAAATTTCTTAAATTATTGTTTATTATAGATTGCAAAGATTGTATTTATCACGAGTAAACGTAATATGATCATTACTAATAATAATTCGAACACTAAAATAAAAAACTGAACTATATTGTTTTTATAAATATATATAAAAAATGAGTATAATAAAGTAAACTAAAGCCTTTATATTATTTTTATAAAAGAATCCCTTTGTATTATTTATTTGAGTGCTCATTTTTATAATAATTTAATAGTTAATATTAAAAAGTTAATAGTGTGTTAATTGTAAAAACGATTCTTATGTTTTTCCAAAAAAAAGGATTAATCCCAAAATTAAAATATTACCATAGCTTAAAAATGTTCAGTATTTTTAATGCTGAATAAAAATTTAAAAATAATATTTTTTAATATAATAGCCTCTATTTTATAAAATATTATTTAATTACAGGTTGCTAAGATATTATTTAGCATAAATGTTTATAATATCATCATTTCTAATAATACTTCACAAACAATATGTATGATTAAACTGAACATTATTTTTTATTAATAAAATATATTAAACCGTACTATCATTAAATTATTTATATCGTTTAATTTATTTTTATAAAATGATTTAAACAAAACAAAAATTACTAGTTTAAGTAATTTTTAGAAAAAAGTAATTATTTAATATCTATAAAATATTGAAACATCGTTAATTTAATAGTAAAAAGAATTATTAATTTCTTCGAAAAGAAAGAAAATTGTCCATAAATAAATTATTATTGTCTATTAAAAGTTTCAGTAGCACAGATTTATTTTAAATGCAGTACAGAATTTTTATTTTTATATATTTTACACATTTAGGGTATTTATCGACCTTAGATCCAAAAACTGTAAAAACGAGATATTTAGAATATGTTATTACAGTAGTAGAGCATATTCGTATCCAAGAAGGATGGAATTCAATGAAACATCTGCAGTTGAATCATGATGAGTACAAGAATGTTACAATAAAAAAAGTATTTGCACAAAAAATAGACAAAATGAATATAACTGACATGTTAAGTATTGTTGTTGGTTTACTTAACTACAAATATACTCAGATATTAAAAAATTATGTTGAAATCGTCACTTTAAGTATAAGAGAATGTGAAAAATATTCAACGGATAATTTATTAAAAGAATTTATTGATTGCACCCGACGCATTGAATATGCAGTGAAAAATTCCAAAATTATGTTTGATAATTTATATCAAGTAATGACGTTTATGAGTTATTTAGATATAAAATGGTTGAATGCGAATATTTCTGGAAACCCATTTGTCAAGGTAGAAGAAATTTATTTTGCCTATAACTATATAAATATAATGGAAATATCAGACCAATCATTTTATATTGATCAGTATGGTAATTATATACCTGAAAATGCGACTTCAGTACTATTAAATATTAAAACATTCGTTGAACATTTATATTTTATGACTGAAAATGGCGAAGAGAATAATTGTATTTTAGCTGAACTTCCAGTACCAATTAACTATAATTTGTTTTTTAAAGAGGAATATTTAAATTTCAAATCACTAAATCCTCATTTAAGTACTTTCGATTTTGTGATAATGATGCTTGATTCATTTTGCAACATCACCATACAAAATGAATACGAAAACCTTGGATTTGAAAAAATACTAAATCCTCTTTTATACAAGTAAATTAATATATATTTAATTTTTACTTTTTAATTTAAGGTTTTACACCTCATTATACACATTTTTGTATTCAAAATGAATTTTATTTAAACCAATATTTTTTTAATTGACTTATAATACAATTACACCTTTTTGTTGATTTAAAATCCGATAAAAAATATGATTTCTCAAATCAGCTATCTGTAAATTATTAATTTTTCTTCAAAAATTTACATGTGAGGTAAATGTATTTTTAATGGTAAAAATATTATACTTCTAAGATAATTTTTTATATATATTTTTTTTAATTGTACAATTTTGACGGATTATTTTTTAATNAATTTTTTATATATATTTTTTTTAATTGTACAATTTTGACGGATTATTTTTTAATGCAGATGTACATCTTTATGTGTACCTCCATTTGATCCTATTTCACAAGAAAAAGGAATAATGTATTTGAATTTTTTACTTAAAGAGGGTAACTGGAAGACTGTGGAAAATTTATATATAAAGCATAATGACCAATTACTTAGTGCAAACCGTGTGCTTAGAGATTATGCAAATAATAACAATTTTCGTCTCAAAATGCAATATTTCACTTTACTATTAAGATGTAGATTTTTTGACTTGTTAAAAAAATTCACTTCACATTTACATGGAACTGTAAAATGTTGTAAAAGAGATAATTTTTTTATGGAAGTAAAAAATAATCCATTTAAATTCACAGATTGTGTAAAAAATGTTTTCATGGCTATTAGTAATTCTCAGGTGTTTTTAAATTGTTTAAACACGGCAATGGATAAATTAGAAAAGGCAAAAATTTGGCATGGAAATGGATTTTATTATTGTTTATCTGTTATAAAGAACATAGTAGAAAACATACTTGACTTGATTCAAGAAAAAAACCTATTACAAAATATATTTGCTAACCCAGAGATTCCATATATTAAAGAAGTTGTAGAGAAGTATTATGATAACGCGATGTATGTGATATCCTCTCTTAAAATAATGATAACAAATGGAAAGCGAATTAATAATAAGCACTGCTTTTATTATGAAAAACCCTATAATTTTAAAAAAGCTGTCTTAAAGAATGATGAAACATCTATTAGTAAAAATAATGGTAGTTGTCAACAGGCTTTTGAGGAATTAAATATGTATTGTGAAGATTTTGTCATTAATGAATATAAAAATCTAGGGTTTGATAAAATTTAATAAAAATTTGTTGTTATTTTTATATTAATTAGTCTTTAATATAATATGTACGAAATAATAAAATTATCTTTCAAGATATGCATACAAATAAATTATGTAATGTTCTAATAAAGAAACACTACACGTATTTATTTAGAAAAAGAGTGCTCATCTTGAAAGTGTTCTAAAATATTGGCATTGAATTTTTTATAATTGAATTAATGTAGGTAAATATTCATTCAAATTATTAAAAGTACGAAAAAATCGAAAGACATTATAAAGTAATAATTAAATTTGATTACTGTTCAAGTAGATAATTATGTTTGTATTAAGGTTAAATACCTTCATATCAGGATTATATTATAAGCGGAGGGGTGATGACGCCTAAGTCAGCCTTAAACGTATTACACGAAGCCCAATTTATGGAATATATTTCAGAAATCATATTGTTAGAAATTTTTAAGGAAAAAAATTTCTTTTGAAACCTACCTTAGAAAAAACCCCTAAAGGCACATTGCTAAAAATATTTCTAAATACGCTGCATTATCTGCTACCTATGCCATTCTGTAATTGGTGAAAATTACAGGTTTATGCTTTGAAGTGAAACATTAATAGTCGTTGTTTACAATATCACGTTAAACTATCGGAAAGTTAAAGCTCAGCGGCATATTTAGCGTTATTTTGCAAACTTTATTTTTACAATGTTACGCTAGCGTAAATATTACCGCTAACTTATTGTTAACGGGCACGTTATTCAACAAGAAATGTAGATCTTCTTCTTTAAGCGATTTGACGACTGGGATCCATATGAGATCAGAATTAATATTTATTACTCTGCATTTTCATATTATCGAAATTGTNAGATCAGAATTAATATTTATTACTCTCGCATTTTCATATTATCGAAATTGTAATTTTATTATTTGATTATATTTTACTTTCAAGTAAAATAAATTACAATTAAAATAATATTAATAAAATGTTTAATCTTAATAAGAGATTTTTATTTAAGATTAATTAAAGACTAATTAAAATAAGGATTATAACCTTTTGTATTCAATTTTAACAAGGCTGAATTTCAGATTTTGAGGTTGGCTTTGCTAGATGAATTTTAGTGTTCCGACGAATTTTTTCTATATTTTCTACAATAGAAATAAAATTATTGTTTATTATAGATTGCAAAGGTTGTGTTTATCTTGAGTAAACGTAATATGATCATTACTAATAATAATTCGAAAACTAAAATAAAAAACTGAACTATATTATTTTTATAAAAGAATCCCTTTGTATTATTTGTTTGAGTGCTCATTTTTATAATAATTTAATAGTTAATATTAAAAAGTTAATAGTTTGTTAATTGTAAAAACGATTCTTATGTTTTCCAAAAAAAAGGATTAATCCCAAAATTAAAATATTACCATATTTTAAAAATATATATTTTACTCACTTAGTGCATCTATCGACCTTAGATACAAGAACTATGAAAAATCAATATTTAAAGTATGTTATTATAATAGTAAAGCATATTTGTGCTCAAGAAGGATGGGAATCGATTAAACATTTGCAATTGAATCGTGAGTACAAGAATATGACAATTGAAAAAGCATTTGTAGAACTAATTCACAAAGAAAATGTTATAAACATATTTAGTATTGTTGTTGGTTTACTTAACTACAAATATATACAGATATTAAAAAATTATGTTGAAATCGTGACTTTATGTATAAGAGAATGTGAAAAATATTCAACAGCTAATTTATTAAATAAATGTATTGATTGTACCCAACTTATTTGAATATGCAATGAAAATCTCCATGATTATGTTTGATAATTTATATAATTTATAGTAATGACGTTTATAAGTTATTTATATATAAAATGTTTGAATGCGAATATTTCTGGAAACCCATTTATCAAGGTAGAAGAAATTTATTAAGCTTAACAATATAAATATAATGAAAATATCAGATCAATCATTTTATATTGATCAGGATTCTAGCTAAACTCCCAGTACCAATTAACTATAATTTAATATTTGAAGAGCCATATTTACATTTCAAGTCAGCAAATTTACTTTTATACAAGTAAATTAATAAATATTTAATTTTTTCTTTTTAATTTAAGGTTCAACACTTCACATCACATATTTTTTCTTCTTTCAAAAAGGACAAAAATATATATCTATATATATTCAAAACGAATTTTATTCAAACCAATATTATTTTAATTTACTTATAATAAAATGATTTATTTTTGTACATTGAAAGTCCGATTTAAAATTAGAATTCTCAAATCTGCTAACTGTAAATTATTACTTTTTGTTCAAAAATTTCACTTTAAATTGTGATATGAATTTCAAATTAGGTATAAAAGTATACCTAAGTGTTATGTATTATGAATATTTAATTTGAGTATTGAAATGTATAGAAAATTTTTTAATTATTTCTATTTAAGGTAATATAATTTTTAAATATAGGTGAAAAGAACGCGCAACACAGAACAATAATTGTTATTTTCTCTGTGTAATGGTAAAAACAGATTTTTAGTAAAGTTTATATCACTCTTCATCTTTTCTCAATATTATCTTAAGTTGAAATTACAAAACTAAATATCTACCAGTTAAGAAAGTCTTCTAAAATATTGGCATTTCATATAATCCAAGGGGTATTTCAAAAAGCCCTGTTCTATCTCTTTTATTATTTTACTGTGTTTTGCTATATCGCTCTTTAAAGTCTAAGTACCTAAGTTGTGGAATGTTCCAACATATGTAGGAATATCTCCTACAACATTATCACTGCAAACGCTGGATAGAACTGTGCACATGAATTATGAAACAGCTACTAAACAAGTTGTCTGGCTGGTAACAAATACTTTATATATTAGGCCTTCTCCATCACTAACTACTTTATTTCCTCTCACCTGTTGTCACCGTATATACCCATTATAAGACAATCCGCCTAAGTTTAGTTCAGGACTCCTCATATTTTTTGACCAAATTTTACATTGGTTATCAACCTTACGCAATCTTATTAGTCGCCTCTTATCACTAGCAGAGGGGCCGTGGAATAGAAGTAAAACTAATATTGGAAGTCTAATGTTTATACTTTTCAAAAATTTTTTTGCTTATTAGGAACTATTAATAGAGTGGATGGCCGAAAATAGGACTCCATTTAATAATTGGATATTTAGAACCTATGGTAAAAAGAATAATATTAAAGTCACTAAATCACCTCCTTATTAGATTATTTATTAAATTGTATATTTGTATTTTATTTTGTTATATTTTATTTATTATTATCTGACGAATGATTATAATGATTAATAGACTTCAATCAATTTTTGAGAAGATGGCGATCACACAACACACATTTTTTTATTAAACTTCACGACAATATATTATTAAAGTTTGTACTATAATCATGATTAATTATATAAAAATAATTTATTTAAAATTTTAAGTTAGTAAAACAATTTTTTTTTGGTTAAAGGATTTAACTATAATATAAAATATATTATTTATGACAATTTTTATGATTTCAACACAATACTAACCCTACTAGTACTTGTGAATTTTAAATGCTATAATGGATAAAATAATTTTATCAATTATTCTTGACTGAAACAAAATGATTTCAAAATGATAATAAAAGTGTTTAATAAATTCTATAGAACTCTATATCTCTATATTCTTTGCTGATGAAATCTACACAAAGCACATCCAATTCCTTACTAGCTCTTTGTAATCGGTAATGGGATTTCTAGATGAATTAGCAATATTTAAAGATGTTGCACTTTTTGGCTAATCATTTAAAGATCTATTTTGAAAAGAAAGGGTTTTTCATAACAAAAACAATATTTTATTTTAACTCGTATTGCATTTCTTATGATTACTTCTTAAGAAGATTTTACATCGTGCACATCTGATCTGTTGGCATAAATATTGATTTTACATAAGTGAACATTTTAGAAAATTCTTTTATTCTACAAAGAAAAAATTATTGCGCAATATTCTATGAAAAATATAATTTTTTTAACTAGTATTGTAGTATACAAGGGATATTTAAACTACTATTGATAATCCGATTGTATATGGAACAAAATTAGTGCTGAATTACTAAAAATAAAATAAACAATTTTTTTCTTTTGAAATATTGTAATCAAATTCTCTAAACAACAGTATAAATTGGGGAAAATATATTTTTGGTTTATAATTTTGATTAAATAACTGAAAGTTATCTTTAGTTAATAAAAGATACTTTTCTGGTAATTTACTAATTCAATGTAACTTAAATATGGCCCTGTTTGAATTCTAATTAATAAAGGTTAATGCCAGAAGTGGTGGTACCTTTAGTACCACATACAGTTGACACGGTACTGTATATTTTGCGATACGTTTAATACACGGTCACCTCGTCTTTTCCATCAGCCGCCTTTTTACATTGCGAGCCCATCCTGATTAGAGTACCCCCACTATCTAACTAGGGTGCAAAGTTCATCTATTGGAGCGCGGTCGACCACCAAGCGCCGGCGGTGAACGATCTATCTTGCCTTCGACGTCCTACGCGAACTAACGCCCACCTTCCTTTTTCTTGCGACGTACTTGTAAGGTACTATTTATATATACAGGGTGTTCAGTAAGTCTGGAAACGGGTTTCTATTGTTCTCATTGTTTGTAACAATGAGAACAATAGAAACCCGTTTCCTGACTTACTGAACACCCTGTATATTACTATAGCACTAGTGTATCATTCTCAGTTTTATTTTGCTGTTTAATTTTTAAATAAATAAATATTCGTATATATATTTATTTATTTAAAATTTTCTTGTTCTTTTTTTATTCTCTCGGCGAGTGCCGCTACATCATTTGTTCAACGTCTTTTTTTTTTTGTTTCCTTAAAAGGAAAAAGGTTATTGACACTTTGTAAAATTCCGTGTCGTACTTCATAATAAGAGTACAGTTTCGTTGTTCACTATACAGTAAAGTTTTGCCGTCTTCTAGAGTTCCTAGGTAATACGAGCTTATTGAATGAATAATAATCAGGGGGTATATGGGGCAAAT